TGGGCAAGTTTCCTTATTTCTCTGGCTCTGCTCCATGTTGTAGATGAAAAAGAGCCACATAATAAATCAAGCTCAGGAGTGGCCTCAGTAATGGGCCTTACAAATTCAGAGTCCAGAAGTAACCACATAGGATGGTACAAACATAAAAATTCCTAACTAAAGTCTAGTCTTGGTGGATAGTCAAGTCCTGGACCTGTAGCTTCCTTGACAAAGTTTAATCTTTACCTCAATGAGCCTGTTTATTCTCTTTGTGACACTGTCAACAACACAAAAATCTTTTAACTTGCAATTCCTGAAAATTATTCTGGAAAGAAATAGAGGTTTCCATTTGAAGAAATGTCTGGAAAACCATAATCAAAAGTATATATATTTGGCCGCAAAAAGAAAAGTAAGTAATTTGTGTTTTTGCCTCCCTGACAAAGTTTATGTAAAGTTACTCTAAGACTAATTGCCAAAATTTAATTAAGGTCATTTACTGTCCATAACCTAGGACAAGCAAAGTTAAAAAATAAACCTTATTAAAAAAAATAAAAAAGGTAGGACATATTTCTTCTTTACAGACTATGCGCTATCCTAGAACTGCCTTTACTACATCTTTTCCTGCACCACCTTATCTATAGGAAGTGTAAATTCTTTGAAAACAATCTCCATCTTTCTTCCCCGAAACATAATGCATAAAAGAGCATGTCAACTCCGGGACAGTAGGCATGCTTGTCTTTTCCACATAGCCATGCTGCTGTGGTTCAGGATGCATGCCCAGACCTGGTCCTTTCCTGGCTCGCATAAGGCTCAATAAACCCTTTCTTTCAGATAAGCTTTTGACGATGAAGGCTTTTGTTTGACATTTATCATAGTGAAAGGAAACAAAGCCAAATCAGCAAAGAGAAAAGTTGGATGGGGAAAAGAGTCCTGGGGAAACCAGGTGCAAGCTTTCAAGGGTCCTCTGTAATGAAGTAACCTGGGATGTTTGAATCCCCCCAGTGATGAGTTTTGACAAAATATGTGAAAAATGCCAACCAGGGAGGCTCATTAGAGACTCAGCACCCAGAGTTTTTGTTGGGTCATGTAGGCAACCTCTGCTTGTCACATACCAAAATTGCAGACTCCAGAAGGAAAGTAGGTGCTCAGATAAAGCATTTGTTTGTATAAACAATTTAGGCACAATAAGCCTCTCTTATCAGTTCTGGAAATGGCGGGAGTTTTGTGAAATTCAAGTTTCTAGACACTAGCCAAAGGTCTTTCAAAGGTTAGCATCAGGACTGCTGTGCTGTTTTTTTGTGGGGTATTCCAAAGGCTGCTACATTTGGACAACCATTTTCTTTAACGTGAAAGCAATAGTTTTGCTGTGTTATTCTCCCCACAAAATTCACATACTGTCTCATTGTCATGCATATGAATTCTGGGCTGAGTGCTATAAAAGTGGGCTGGTGACTCCCATACCAGTAGTCCAATGGTGAAGAGGAATCTCAGGTGAATTATCATCAAAGAGACTGTATTATTCAGAAGCATAGAGACCATTAAATAGTGATTACTTTGAAAGTAGTGGGCTTTTTACAATGAATTTATTCAATTTTTTTCAATTACAGTTAATTTTCAGTATTATTTTGTATTGGTTTCAGGTGTACAACGTAGTGATTAGACAGTCACATACAGTCAAGTGTTCCACCTGAAAATTCCAGCACCCGACTGGCACCACCCGTTGTTATTGCAATATAATCATCTATTTTTCCTATCCTGTACTCTACATCCCCATGACTATCTGTAACTACCAATCTGTACTTCTCAATCCCTTAACCTTTTTCACGCAGTCCCCCAAGTCTCTTCCCCTCTGGCAACCACCTATCTGTTCTCTATACCTATGAGTCTGTTTCCGTTTTATTTGTTCACTCATATTGTTCTTTAGTGAAATTAGATGGTATTTGTCTTTCTCTGTCTGACTTATTTCACCCAGCATAATTTCCTCTATGTCCATCCATGTTGTCACAAATGGTTAGATTTCATTATTTTTTTATGACCAAATAATATTCCATTGTGCATGTGTACCACTTGTCTATTTATGGGCACTTGGGTTGTTTGGCTATTGTAAATAAGGCTACAATGAACATAGCAGTGCATATATTCTGTCTAATTAGTGTTTTGGTTTCTTTGGATATATACCAAGAAGTGGAATTGCTGGGTCATCCGGAAGTTCTTTTTTTTATTAAAATTTTTTTTTTATTTTATTTTTTTATTAAATTATTATCTGTGTACATATACCATTGCCTGCCCCCCTCCCATAGATGCCTTCCCTCCCCAGAGTTTTGTGTCCATTGGCTGTACTTATATGCATGTATTAATATACAAGTCCTTTGGTTGATATCTTATCTTCCCATTTTTAATTTTTTGAGGAAACTCCATAGTGTTTACTACAGTGACTGCACCAATTTGCATTACCACCAGCAGTGCCCAGGCTCCCCTTTTCTCTATATCCTCACTAACACTTATGTTTGTTGATTTATTGATGATAGCCTTTCTCACAGGAATGAAGCAATATTTCATTTGCACATTGAGCATTTCTTCATATATCTATTGACCATTTGTAGGTCTTCTTTGGAGAAATATCTATGCAGGTCCTTTGCATACTTTTTAATTGGATTGATTGTTTTCTTGGTGTTGAATTTTGGATATTTAACCCCAGATGTATTGTGAATATGTTCTCCCACTTAGTAGGTTGTCTTTTTGTTTTGTTGGTGGTTTCTTTTGCTGTGCAAAAACTTCTTAGTTTTAAAAGCAGCAATATTTAATATTTATATAGGGCAACAAGTTTTTCATTTGAGACTAGTGCTACTCAAATGAAGAGTAGCAGTGATGGAAATATTCACCTTCTGTGCTATCTAATATAATAGTCACTAAGCACACATGGCTATTGATAATTTGAAATAAGATTAGTGTAACTGAGTAACTGAGTTGTTAAGTTTTGCAATTTAATTAAAATTAGTGACTACTAGATTCTAGATGTCTATTTTGTGAATATGTGAACTGTTGATTGAAAGGATAATGGGTGATCATCAAGATAATGATGCCAGTTGAGATCTTTCTCCAAGAAATGTCCTATATTTCCCCAAGTCTTGTCTCTACCCATTGGGCTTACATTTCTCCTCTCCATGGTCCTGTCCTCCAAGGAGCAGCTTCCACATTCAAAGCAAGAACATTGTCCTTGAGATTTTTTATGGTCTGAGTTTCAATAATAGAATATCAATAATCTATTGATATTCAATAAGAGAGACAGAAGGTTTCTAATAGCATATAATGCTTCAGTAATATGGGCTAGTTGGGAGCATTTAAATCTTTCTTTTCTTTTTAAAAAAATATATTTTATTGATTTTTTTTTTACAGAGAGGAAGAGAGAGGGATAGAGAGTTAGAAACATCTATGAGAGAGAGACATCGACCAGCTGCCTCTTGCACACCCCCTACTGGAGATGTGCCCACAACCAAGGTACATGCCCTTGACCGAATTGAACCTGGGACCTTTCGATCCGCAGGCTGATGCTCTATCTAGAGCATCAGCGGCATTTAAATCTTTCAATATAGACTGTCAGATAAAACAAATTTCTTGTTATAGAGAAATCTTCAGAATAGCATTTGTTATAATAGTAGGTGTGCTCCATAAAATCATGTGTTAATGTAAGTGTTTTCTAGCTTCCTGGGAAGCAAGCTCTGGGAAGGAGCCAAACCGGCCAGAGTAGACCTCCCTCTCAGCAGCTGGGGAAATGAACACCTCAGCTGTATGTATCACAGCATCCATTACAATAGATTTTAGTTTTCATTTGGAAAGAAAACTTGCCTGCTTTTCTTCAGCTGTAGGGCTTTTGCAAAAGGCAGAACAAAATCGTGGTTAAAAGCAGGGCTTTGCAGTTGGTTTGAGTCCTGTGCTCAGTGACCTTGCATGAGTTACCTAGTTTCCTTTGTCAATTTTTTTGACTAGAAATGGAAATAATGCTACCTATTTGTAAGGATAGCTGTGGGAAAAGAATAACACGATGTGTGAAAGCACTTAGCACAAGGCCCGATGCTTGGTAAACACTTAATAAATGGTTGCTATTGTTACCGTTCTAGGAGTTTTTATAAAACACAAATTTTGGGTATGAGAATTTCCCACCGGGAGCACTGTAGAGTTGAATGACAGTTTTGGGCAACAGAATATAAAAAAGAGCTGTGCTCCAATCCTCACGGATAAGGCCTTTCACTTCTCCTAGTCTTGCCCTCGCTCTGGCAGAAGGCCCCAGAATTGGGACAGATTGAAAAAGCCAACAGGAACAAGGCCTCTGCTGTTCCTGGATCCAGAGGGAAGAGAAGCTACTCTGTGAGCTCCTGATCATTTTGCTCAGGAGGAAATGCTCCCAGGAAATTACAAGAGGCTTTGCTCACTTATGTTTAGGCTATTGATGTAACCTGTAGAGATTTCTGGAAATGCTTCCTACGCAGACATACCCTCCTCTTCTAATCACATTTCTGTAATCTTGATGGTACGCAGCATGAGCATAACTCTTTACCACTTTCAAGCACTCCACAAATATTAACTAATTAACCTATAATAATAAAAGGGCAATATGCTAATTAGACTGAATATCCTTCTGGACGTCATTCCGTACATCCTTCTGGATGAAGCCAGGGCTGGAGCCAAGACTGGGTCCCCAGTGCCTGCCAGTGGCGGCCGGAGCGAAGCAGCCCAGATTCCAGGTGCCAGAGGGGAGCCGATGCTGGCAGCCGGGGAAGGAAGGCCTGCTCTTGCATGAATTTTTGTGCATCAGGCCTCTAGTTTATTTCATAAAAGAATAGGTTTTTCTGGGTCAATTTTGGCAGCCCAAGTCTCTAGTCTCAATAACAGTCATAGAGCCAAGGACACACTTCATTAACGTTATCAACACACTTTCCCAAGTTTAAGTTCCAGACAAGCTACCAAACCCAACCCACCATGACTGACATCCCAGTTGAGGGCTTCCTGCCATTGCTTTTGTGATGTTTTTAGACCTCTTTACCTGCTAATTTCGTGTAAGAGGTTATTGTACAAAGCAGAGTCTCCCAGACTTGGGTTTTATAAACCAGTATAGTAAAAAAAATAAATTTCTAAGAGAGGACACATAACAGCCCCTACTATGTTTTGTCACCACCATTTCAATCCCCCACTCATTGGCTATGCTCATATGCATGCATACAAGTCCGTTGGTTGATCTTTACCCCCTCACTCTTCCCAACCCATCCCCCCACCCGCCTTCCCTCATAGGTTAGACAGTTTTCAATGCTTCTATGACTCTGGTTCTATTTTTGTTCATCAGTTTATGTTATTCATTATATTCCACAAATGCGTGAGATAATGTGATATTTATCTTTCTCTGACTGGCTTTTTTTACTTAGCATAATGCAAATGATAAGAATTCCTTCTTTTGCTGAAACCAGTTTAGCTCAGTGGATAGTGTCGGCCTGCGGCCTGAAGGGTCCCAGGTTTGATTCCGGTCAAGGGCATGTACCTTGGTTGCGGGCTCATCCCCAGTGAGGGGTGTGCAAGAGGCAGCTGATTGATGATTCTCTCTCATCAATGTTTCTAACTCTCTGTACCTCTCTCTTCCTCTCTGTAAAAAAAAATTTTAATTTTATATATATATATATATATATATATATATATATATATATATGAAAAGAAAAAAGAATTACCGAAGCGTAGTATTCCATTGTGTAGATGTACCACAGTTTTCTAATAGACTATCTGCTGATGGGCACTTAGGCTGTTTCCAAATCTTAGCTATTGTAAATTGTGCTGCCATGAATGTAGGGGTGCATATATTCTTTCTGATTGGTGTTTCTGATTTCTTGGGGTATATTCCTAGAAGTGGGATCACTGGATCAAATGGGAATTCCATTTTTAATTTTCTGAGGAAACTCCATACTGTTTTCCATAGTGGCTGCACCAGTCTGCATTCCCACCAGCAGTGCACAAGAGTTCCTTTTTCTCCGCATCCTCGCCAGCACTTGTTGTTTGTTGATTTGTTGATGATAACCATTCTGACAGGTGTGAGATGGTACCTCACTGTTGTTTTGATTTGCATCTCTTGGATGGTTAGTGACTTTGAGCATGTTTTCATATGTCCCTTGTCCTTCTGTATGTCCTCTTTCAAAAAGTGTCTATTTAGGTTCTTTGTCCATTTTTTTGATTGGGTTGTTTATCTTCCTTTTGTTGAGTTGTATAAGTTCCCTGTAAATTTTGGAGATTAAACCCTTATCAGAGATAACTGTTGTCAAATATGTTCTTCCATGCAGTGGGCTTTCTTGTTGTTTTGTTGATGATTTCTTTTTATTTTGATGTAGTCCCATTTGTTCTAAACAGCATTTTAAAAAAAAAGATCTATGTCATTACATATTTTGTTATTATTATTTTAAAGTGTCCCATGGCCAGTATGTGTAACTGAGTTTAAAGGTCTGGTAAATCTTTGATCAATAAGAATAGAGGCTTTTTTATGCAATTTCTTCACCTGTCTGAACATTTGATAGGGGCAGGGCTTTGAAAATGATCTCTGATTGGGTTATATATGCATTTGGGTTTTGAACGATGCTGTTATGCAAATATTTTTCCTGAATATGGCACGTGCTTAACTGAAAACAGAATATTTTTAAAAAAATATATTTTATTGATTTTGTACAGAGAGGAAGGGAGAGAGATAGAGAGTTATCGATAGAAACATCGATGAGAGAGAGTCATCGATCAGCTGCCTCTTGCACACCCCCTACCCTACTGGGGATATGCCCACAACCAAGGCACATGGCCCCGACCGGAATCGAACCGGGGACCCTTCAGTCCCCAAGCCGATGCTCTATCCATTGAGCCAAACCGGTCTCGGCTGAAAACAGAATTCTTGAGACAATATATTCATATGGATTGTCTTCATCTTAAAACAATAACTGTGGTCTGCATCCTGCATTTTTCTTAGGGAATATAGTGGATTCATTTTTCAATGAGGAAGTTTCATACGGCTTTAAAGGATTTTTTCCCCATTAAAAATGTATTGCATTGTTTTCTAGCACAAACGTGGCTAGAACATAGTAATACTAATATCTGGCATTAGAAAAATTAACTAGATATCATGGTATCTTCAGCCTGTTATTTCAAATAGAGGTGTTATTTATGGAGACACTGACAAATTGAGAGTATTAAAAAAAAATGTGAGCTGTCATTTGCAGTGTTATTTCTTTTAAATCTAGTGAAGCTTCCTGTCTGCTGACAATGCCCAGGCTGTCTCCTGTGTCACACAACCCCCAAGAGGAGTCTGTTCTACCCTCTGCTGTCCTCACTTTGCTTAGTGCTAAACTACGCTTGGACACATTTTCCCAGGCTGAGATGTGAATTCAACCTCTTACTGATTTCACCATAGACCCCGATCTTTGGGTATGTTTGTGTATGGGAGGTAATTAGGAAATCACAAATTACATAGCTTTTTTTTAAAAAAAAATTTTTTTTATTGATTTTTTACAGAGAGGAGGAGAGAGGGATAAAGAGTTAGAAACATTGATGAGAGAGAAACATCGATCACAGCTGCCTCTTGCACAGCCCCTACTGGGGATGTGCCCGCAACCAAGGTACATGCCCTTGACCAGAATCGAACCTGGGACCTTTCAGTCTGCAGGCCGATGCTCTATCCACTGAGCCAAACCAGTTTCGGCTACATAGCTTTTCTTATCCTCAGTTTTATCATCTGTAAAATGGGAATAAATATATATACTTCCTACGCTGGAGATTAGGTGAGGTAATGTATATAAGCACCTACACAGTCAGTGCTCAGCACATAGTTTCTTTTGCACATCACTTTATTTCTATAATCTGGCATTCTAATTGGAGACAGGATCACAGCTCTAAGAAATTTGTTTTCCACGTGGTTAAACTAACCTTCAGCTCAATGTTAGTTTGAAGAATGTGACTAGCTGGCTCTCTGTGGCTCTGCCACTGAGAGGACCTGGGACCAGTGGCCTTGCATGCTAGAATGAAGATGGCCCAGCAGGAAGATGGGGTTGTAAAAATGTCCACACCTAAGTCACCCTAATTTCATGTATAGACCGCTCAAGCAATCCGGGGCTTGTAGAAACCTCCTCTTTAAGAAAGACTTCCATGTTCAGTCCACCCTGAAGGGACATTAATCTTCCTTGCTGCTATGAAGTGGAACACAGTGTTGAGTGGGAGTAGACCAAAGAAAATCAGAGCAGGAAAACACTATTCTTATCAAAGTATAGGTGTAGTTAGGATCTCGCATCCCAGTTCTGCCACCTGCCCAGACACCCACCCCTGCTCCTCACCCTCCTTCACTGTGTGTTCTTGCTGAGCCACAGAAAAAGTCCTGAAAATGCTAAAGCAGATAAGAGAAATCACATTTTTTTTCTATTTAAAAAACAAAACAAAAAACTTCAGGCCAACCTTTGAGAATGCTTTTAAGTATGTGAAATAATTGAGAGCACTTTGAAACTCCTTTTGGTATTCTATGAAAAAATGATTAAAAGGCAAACTTTTCCTCATAGGTGACCAATTATCAATAGATATAGTATTTATATTTATTTTTGAACCCACACTGGCCATTAGTACACAACAAAATATGATATTAAGCCCACATGCCAAACCCACACCCAATGTTTGGAAAGCTCTGGCTGAAAATGGAGCAACCTTAGAAGCTGGGTCCCAGCAGGATAATACCCAGCACAGCATGAACTCCAGCCAGTCAACGAATAAAGACTTAAAATCCTGACTGGCTTGGGGCCAAGGTTCTTCGAGAGTATTCAAGGATGGGAGTAATCTTGGATTTTTAATAATTCCTCAAACAGAAACACAGCTTTCACCATTCCACCGGACATTGGGGAGCACACTGAGTGGCCTGTGAAGTCAGCCAGGGTGCACTTGGTGTCAGAAATCTTACAGTGTTGGCTTGCTGGTCGCCCTGGTGCCATGGGTGGCTGGCACTAGCAAATACGATGACAGTGAGGAGTAAAAGTAAAAGTGAGGGGAAAAATATAACAGCTAGGCAGAATCTGTCTACTTTGACATTGTCAGGCACCACTTGGTGTTTTATTTGACTTCTTATTCCCCCTTTTGGGTGTGACTGATGGGAAATGGCTTTATCTGGTGTTGGTTTTAGCATAGGTACTTATTCAGTGGCTTGTGTGTATCATCTCCTCTAGTCCATACAGAAACTTAGTGAAGAAAGCGATTGTCTTCCCATTTTACTAACGTGAACGTTGAAATTAGGAAGGCCACATAACCTTCCAAATATTATAAGGCCAGTAAGTAATGGGCATGGATGGAACCAAGGAAATCTGAATCCAAAGTTTGCCATGAACCATCACAGAAGCTCATAATTCAGCTTTTCTTTATTGCTAACTGGTGGTCAGTTTTGCAGGGAGGGGACAGAGACTGGGGTGGGAGGTATCTGTGTAGTGACTGGCACTCACTTGTTCTTTCAATATGGATGTACTGGGCATCATCTCTGTACTTGGTACTGTGGGTGTCTACTGTTAGGCTACTGAAACTTTCAGGCTCTGGTTCTTCCAGACACTCATTGTCTTTAGAATAGTCAAACATTCTAGATGTTTATACTTAAGTGCTTGCAGCTTAGTACATTGACAGACTGTTTAGGTAGCCAAGGAAGGTATTGGAGAACAGACATGGCATTTAAGGTGCCAGGTCTTGGAGGAATATGCTGGTGGCTGGAAATGGAAAATGGTCTGGATGATCTGACAGAGTTCAGGGCAGAAGTGGTGGGTGACAGGTGATGGAAATCCATTGAAATGATGACAACAGTGGGTGGCATCTGGGAGGGTTGAGTAGCCAAAAGCCAAGCCCAGCCTTAGCCTGCAATTCTGGGACTAGACCTTAGTTTATAGGAAGCCTTAAAAGACAGGGGAACACAAATAGTAGGTAATTGAGCATTATTCCAGCTTGAAACTTCAGCCTAGAGATCTCAAAATTCCTTTTGAATAGTAAAAGAATTGGCCAAGCA